AGTCTGGGCTTGTTTGAACCCATCCTTCTCAAGAAGACTTTCCAGATATTCAAAGGGAGTTCAGTGTTGTGGTCTAAATCTTTGGTCACTCCAGCCAGATCAGTACTGGGGGGTGCCCTAAGCCCAGTAATACTGTGACTCTTGTAGACTCCTGGTGGTACCGCCTTGGTGGACTTGGGTAAGATAAGAGAGAATTCCCTAGACAACGAGGCACACTGTCTTACTCTCTTCCCCCACTCTCTGTACTGGGCTGCTGGAGTTGGGGGAGGAGTGACATGGCCACTCACCTCATGGTCACCAGCACTCGGTCACACCTAAAGCCAGCCCAGTCTCACACAAAGCCAGTGGTGACTGTTGCCTGGCTACCGCTGATGTTTATTCAGAGCCCACGGGCTCTTTGGTCAGCAGGTGGTGAATCCTGCCAGGACTGGGTCCTTCCCTTCAGGGCAGCAGGTTTCCTTCTGGCCCAGGGTGGGTCCAGAAATGCCACCCAGAACTAAGGCCTGGATTCAGGGGCCTCAGGAGTATGCTTAGTACTTTATTTTACTGTGGCTGAGCTGGTACCCAAGTTGCAAAACACACTCCTCTGAGCTCTTCCCTTTCCTTTCCCCAAGTGGAAGAAGACTCCTTGAGCCGCGCTGCCTATATTTGGGGGAGGGGTGACACAGGCACTGGCTTGGCTGTGACTGCTGTTGTCTCACTGGGTCGTGCGCACCCCAAGTCCACTGACTCCGAGCCAGAACAGCCACAGGAATTGCCCAAGGACTGCAGCCTTTGTGGCCCGACTGCCTTATGAATTTAGTCCAGGCCCCAGGCTGCTCTTCTTCTGCCAGTGGTGGGTCTAGCAGGAACTAGGGCCTTGGGGCAGAGGATTTCTATGTGGCCAGGCTGGTCAAAATGCTCCCTCTGTAGGCACCGGCAGAATTCTACCCTGTGTTGTGTTCCCTTGTGCCAGGGTGGCCCTGAGTTTCAATGCAAAGCCCCATACCATGATTGTACTTTCATAAGACTAAATAGTCTGGCTTAAACTTTATTCAAAATATTTAAGTAATCCTGCCAGAGATGTCAAAGCATTTGGTAAATACCTAAGACCCTTTTTTAAACAATTTGTAAATTATGGGTCTTTAATACCAAAGAGTAAGATGTCTTCCCTTTCAGGGGGCTGGGGAGAGGACATACGGGGAATAGGAGGACCAGTGAGGTGACAGTAACGTAACGTTGTTTTCTGATTTTAGGTCAAGTGCTTATTTGTGCAAGCGATGACCGAACGTGTTCCCAACTGAGAGACTGTATCACTATGGGAGCCGAGACCTTCTTACTGAGGCTCTACAGGAAAACCTTTGAGAAGGATAGCAAAGCTGAAGAAGTGTGGATGAAATTTAGGAAGGAGGACAGTTCAAGAAGAATTAGGAAGTCTAACAAAAGACCCAAAGACCCCCAAAACAAAGAAAGGGCTTCTACCAAAGAAAGGACTCACAGAAAGAAAAAACAAAGATTGACTTTAACTCAGATGATAGGAAAATCTGAAGACCTGGAAGAGGAAGGCAATATTGAGGAAGGAGATCATAGGGAAATAAGCAGTAGCCCAGAAAGCTGCTTGGAAGAAATTAAGCACGAAGATTTTGATTTAAATCTGTCATCCGATACTGCTTATGGAATCCTGAAAGAACCCCTCACAATCATCCATCCACTCCTGGGTTGTAGCGACCCCTACGCTCTGACAAGGGTACTCCACGAAGTAGAGCCCCGGTATGTGGTTCTGTATGACTCAGAACTCACCTTCGTCCGTCAGCTTGAAATTTACAGGGCAAGCAGGCCCGGGAAGCCTCTGAGGCAAGTTATACGAGTATGAACTGTTTCTTAAAGCTTTGAATGTCACAGTTCTTTAGGACTAACACAAAATCTCTACCAGTTGCATATTAGTTTTATCTTTAACACTCCACTGTTATGATGCTGGTTACATTTCCGAAACCTTATTTTGCTTTCTGATGGATCTGGGAAGTTGCATGGGCAGGGCATCAAATGTAGCAGCAGGACAACAAACCTAGGGGACTCCTCATGTTCTAGTTACATGCCGCTCTGGTGTTCTGTACCATATTCATTATGTGTTGGTTTGTAGCTTATGGGGTGCTATATCTGAAAAAGTCTAGAAAATTTATAATATTCTAAGTCCCACCAAAAGTTAATATAATTATGACTTGGCTAAATAGTTTTAATCTTCCAAAATGTCTTTCTTATAAATTTTAAGAAGTGACTCTAAATGTCATCCACATAAAACGAAAGTGTTTGGGGAAATTACTGTACCAGGTTTTCTTGAGTTTCAAGAAATGTCAGACGAAAAATCTATAGAAATATCAGATGAGAAAATGATGCCTCCCAAAGAAGATAGTGTTCTGGCTCTCCAATTATGTGAGGGGAAATAAACAGCAAAATTAATATCCTGAACTCAGTCTGAACCAAAAACGGAGCCAAAAGAAACCTTCCTAGCAGTTTAACTAATACAGCCTTTGAGAGCGCAGTTGAATGGAGGAGCTGGATCAGAAATAATGCACGGTGAAGAGATTAGATAAAGCTGGTAACATAATTATAGGCTGGTAACTTTTCATGCTTCGCTATTGACCAACTTTGTAGATAGCTGTATGTGCCAAGCTTCTTTCTTGCCTGAGAACAGAATAGTGTGAAATTTAGAAACAAAATGTCAGAATCAGAAGGGACCTGGGAGTTTAACCTGCTCACTCCATCAATGGGAAACTGAGGCTCAGAAATGGGGAATGACTTGGCCTCAGCCACATGGCACATCCATGGGAGAGCTGAGGTGTCTTGACTCATCACCCAGTGATCTTTTCCCCGTGTACACTGGAAAGAGATATAAGCTAGGAAGACAAAGGGTAAAAGAAAAACTGAAGCTCAAGAAGGAAAATACTTCTCATAGAAGGTGAAGAAAAGGGACGGAGGATGTGCTTAATTCAGCTCTCTTAGCAGCAAGTGAGTTAGAAAGGCAGACCTTTCCTAAGAGAAAATATATCAAATTATTCTTCAAGATGCTTGATATATTCCATATGTCTTCTGTGCCTGTGTGTTTATATAGAATGTGTGATGACTCTGTTCTGTTAAGACTCGAATGAAAAAGAACTGAGAAATTACTTGTGAGGATAAGGTCATATAGATTTCATTTGTTTATTTTTCACTAACGTGAACTTTCATAAGCTGGTTTTGATAGCTACTATCCAACTTTTTAAACGATTGTTTGGCAGAGGTGCAAAGAAAAAATTGAAAAAAGAGAAGCCTCTTAAGATTTTATATTTTTTGATTTGTTTATAGTTATGAGGAAAGAATATTTCTATCCCTCTAGTTGTATTTCAATGTTTACCTGAACTCTGTTCCTCTTTTTAGCAAAAGAAAAAAAAAAATGTGGTAATGAAACCTTTAACAGGTGGAGTTTAGGCAGCTTAATTTTAGTTAATGACTGATGAATGGAACCTCTTATTCTCAAATATTTATTATTTGAGCAACCTAGGTTGCTGATTTCAAATGTTCTGCTGTTCCTTTCAGGGATTAAAAATTAAGTTTTTGCAATCTAAAAGAGTTCTGTCTTAACTTGCAGGGTTTACTTTCTTATCTATGGTGGTTCAACTGAGGAACAACGCTATCTCACCGCTTTGCGGAAAGAAAAGGAAGCTTTTGAAAAACTCATAAGGTAATACACAGAAGATCAGCATGAAAGTCACAACTACATGGAAGGCCTCTCAAGGTCCAGAGCAGTCTCTGGGTGGGGGATATCTAATAACCCTCCAGGAGTTTGGGAAGGGGAAGCAGCAAGAGGGGCTCTCAGCAAGGTAAACATGCTGTCTGATCTGATCCCCACGTATATCTCAGCACATGGCTCCTCTTTCTCTCCCCCTCTTGTACCATCTCCAGTTGCTTATCAGTGGTTTAATAGAATATTAGAAATGGGACTAAGAGAACTGCTTTTCTGTTTATGAAGAAATATAACTAAAACACTACTTTTCTAAGAAATACATTCGTAAATCTCCCTCTTCCCTGCCCTATGCACAAGATTCTGCCCTCCTCTGAGTGGTTTTTTTTCTCCTTGTGAGATTGCCATTGTCTGTGTGCGGGGGACTGCTTTACCGTTTACGACCCAGCCAGTTCCAATCACCGTCAGTAGGATCGCTCTGGGAAAATATTTTTTAGATGTGTTGTTTGTCTGAATGTAAACACGTGTATGTTTTTGAGGATGGGTATCTGGTAATGTTCCAAATCCAAATAGAAAATGTTTTTCAATTTAACATAAGGAAAATGTTTATGAGGTATTCACAAACTGGATGGCTACCTCTTACCCCTGAAAGCATTCAAGAAATCTGATAACCACCCACCAGGGATGTTGTCAAGGAGACTGCTGCTTGGTGTGGGAAGATGGGCCAGATGATCTCTAAGGGATCTCAGAAACCAGGGCCAGGGCTGCATGGGCATCATTGAGCTGAGCCAGAGAAAGGCCAAACCAGAGAAGACCATGGCCTGGACAGAGTACAATTGAGCCAGACCAACCTCCAGGCCTCAGACATTGGCAGTGTAGGGCAAAACTTATTTTTAGCAGTAGTCAGCCTGCCGGGGCCCTAGGCTGAATTTCAAAATGGACAACCATCCTACAGTGCTGGCTGTGGGTTCTCAGTATATGTGTAAAATATAGACATAGCCCATTTAGTCCAGGGCAGGCATTCCTGGCAGCAGGTGTTTACTGAATCAGTGCCATGGAGTCCCTCAGGTGGGGTCAGCATGGTATATGGGCAGTCCCCTTCCCTTCCCTTCAAATCCTCTAGAATTATGACATGCTTCGGCCATGGATTCTTCCAGCTACTGGTCATACAATTATTGCTTAGTCCTCTCAGCCTATGAAAATATATTTTCCGCCAGTGTGATCTATGGGATTGCTTATATCATGTGTGTGTATACGTACTCTTGGAAATATATTTCGGAAATACTGTTACAACAGACCAGGTATTATACAGCCTACCTCTTCTTGCTCCAAGCTTTTAGCTCTTGCCTGACTTACTCTCTGACTTCTAGATCTTTACTCCCCATGGCTCAAACAGTAAACAGATATTTATTAAGCATCTGGTATGTGCCAGGCCCTGTGTGAATATTAAAAGTGCTGAGGTTACAGTGGTGCAGAAAAGGTCTCTACCCTTCTGGAGCTTATCCTCTAGTGGAAAAGACAGACATGAGATGATTATAAATATTGTAATAAATAGAAGTGTACCAAGCACTGCTGGCTGCAAAGGTACAAGAAAAGGGTGTAATGAGAGATTGTGTCAAAGAGCCCTAACCTACACCAGAAGGAGATCAGGAGCTTCCCTGAGGAAGTGATATTTAAGCTGATGCATGAAAAACCGGTGGGAGTTCCTAGGAGGATTGCTTGGAAAAGGGGGTTATGTTGAACAAAGGCGTGTATAAAGGCTCAGAGGTACAAGAGGCCTGTTAAGGATTTAGGACTTTAAAGGCAATAATATAGCATTGAAGTGTTCTAAATAGGAAAGTGAATTAAACACCTGCAATCCTGGCACTCTGGGAGGCCAAGGAGGGAGGATCACTTGAGCCCAGGAGTTCAAGACCAGCCTGAGCAAGAGCGAGACCCCGTCTCTACTAAAAATAGAAAAAACTAGCCAGGCTTGGTGGTGCAAGCCTGTAGTCCAGCTACACAGGAGGCTGAGGCAGGAGAATTGTTTAAGCCCAGGAGTTTGAGGTTGCTGTGAGCTAGGCTGATGCCACGGCACTCTAGCCTGGATGACAGAGCAAGACTGTGTCTCAAAAAAAAAAAAAAAAACAAAAGGAAAACAAAAGAAAGTGACAAATATATTTTTAAAGGCTCTCTCTGGCATCAAACTGAGGAATGAGTGAGCATCGGAGCTAATGGGAAGGCTATTGCAGTTGTCTGATGAGAGAAGGTGGTAGCCAAGGTTAGGCTAATGGAGGGAAGAGGACAGATTTGAGAGATATTTAGGATATAGAATCAAAGAATTGGAGATACTGGATGTGTGAGCCAGTACCTCCTGATCATTCTTTCACTCTTTTTAAAACATCCTTTGCCTGAGTTTTCTCTGATTAAAGTTGTCACCAAGTTACAAATGAGCAGAGAGAGCTAAAACATTCAGATTAGGTTATCGGTGATCATATCGGGGTCCCCAAGACCATCCTCAGGCTCAATGATTCACTAGAAGGGCTCACATGAGTCAGAAAAACTGTTGTATTCATGTATAGTTTCATACAGCAAAACGACACAGATTAAAATCAGCAAAGGAAAAGGCACATGGGGCAAAGTCCAGGAAAAACCAGACATAAGCTTCTAGGCGTCCTCTCCCAGTAGAGCCACACTGATGAGCTTAATTCTCCCAGCAATAAGGTGTGACAACACATGCAAAGCATTGTCAACAGTTCGATATCCCGAGTTTGTATTAGGGCTCAGTCATATAGACGGAGTACCCACAGGACTGACTTCAGCTACTCAGACTCCTGCCCTCCAAAGCAAAAACAGGCACTCACCATAAATCATGTGATTAGCATAAACTGTCCGATCAAACTGGTACCTGTGGCCCAAGGCCTCAGGCACACAGAAACCCTCTTATCAGGCAGAATATTCCAAGGATTCAGACCTCATCTTCCAGGAGCTGGGCAAGGGCCAGTTCTAAGGAAACAGACCTTCCTTAGAAATGTGCAGAGTTTGAGCAGCCCAGGCCTGCTGAGTTAATCCTTCCCTGCACAATGTTACAGCCAGAGGAGCCTGATAGAATGTGAGGAGGACGTCACTGGAGTGGGTGGGTTTTATGCTTCCTACTTTCTTCGTGCACCTGCCTCTTCTCTAGTACATGAGGGAATCTAATCTAGAAAAGGGTACTTTAGTAGATAGTAGTAAGGTATTAGGGACCTCGTGCCATTCCTGATTTTTTTTTTTTTTTGTATAAAATGTAAGGGGTACAAGTGTGGTTTTGTTACATGGATATATTCTGTACTGGTAAAGTTTGGGCTTTTAGTGTAACCGTCACCTGAATAGTGTACATAATTTCCCATTCCTGATTTATGCTAGTGTCTTCAATCATCAGAGAACTCAGTGACAAGATGTGGATAAAAGCCCTGCGTAGACTGGAAACCTCCCCCCTCAGAGCCGGAACATGGACTCTCCTATGTTCCAATTGGTAACAGTAATTTCCATACCAGGTTTTAATGTCCTTTTATCTATGATCTGGTATAATTTTTTCTAAACTCTCTCAGTGGTAAACTGCCTACTTATTATAAATAAGATCTTCCCATTTCACACAGCAATCAGATGGTTACACTATTTAGAATCTTAGGATATTTATTTTCCCAGAAAACTTGGGGAATTTGAGAGGTATTTGTTTTGAAAAGCAAAAACATATTTGAGGTGCATTGCTGGAAGAACATTTGCACTGTGCCTGTACTTAGAGAAACATTTGATGTGAGAATAATATAATGTGCTTTTGCCAAGACCTCCATGGGTGATGTTGTAAGAAGAAAAGCAGTGGTACTGTTTAAAATAACCAGAAAGGAATGAATCAGGCAAACTGGCAGTGAAAGGATTATTTAGCTGGATTAAAGATCAGTAGATTACAGATGGCAAATGAAGAGCAAGAAGATTACACTTTTAAGTATTTATAATAAAATGCTCCCTGGGTACAAAAATTAGTAATAACATCCTCAGTATACATAGTTTTGAGAGGAGTCACTCCTTTTCAAAGGAAGGAATGAGATTATTTGAAACTTTACAGTCAGAAAATATGATCACAGAATAGGTTAGTGTGAGGGCTTGAATAAATGCCCATTGGAAGAGACTTCTAGTTCAGCACCTCCTTCCTACATCATCGTGTTGTACAAATACCATTGAAGATATCAAAGCAAACAGGAAACCTCAGTACTTTAGATTAAGTGGGAATAGGAATCTGAATTTTTAGTTATTGTTTTATGTCTATCACATAGAGCATAGAGTAATTTGGATAATTGTGCTAAATGTTGAAAGCAAGAGACTGAATATTTACAACTATGGTACATTTCCATTAAATTAGAGTTACCAGTTAGGAAGACTTCACAGTCTGGGTTTCATCTCTGGAGTATATTTTTTCTCAGATTCAACATGTAGATATGTGATAACATTTAGTGATAAACTAGCTGTTTTCTGTAATAATATTACTTGAAAAATTGTGGAATCATTTGAAAGCAAATCTTCAGTTCATTAGTATAATCATGGATAATAAGAGTATGAGGTTACCACATTGTAAGACAAGCACAGTTATAACAGCTAATATTTATATAGCAGTTACTATGCACCAGGCACTGTTATGTCATCCTCATAACACTCTTTTGAGGTATGTTTTACTATTACCCTCGTTTTATAGGTGAAAAAATTGAGGCGCAGAGCGATGAAATGACTCGCCTAAGGCCACAAGCCAGTAAGTGGTTTCTGATCCACACAATAGGGAAACAGAGACTGCAGTCTAACCCACTGTGCTCTATAGCCTCTCACACATTACAGATTAACCGGGAAATTGGGATGGCCCCATTTGTGATATGTAGTTGATAAAATGTACTTATATGTAGTACAATAAGGAGGAATAAAGAGCTGGAAGGGAACAACAATGAACTTAATAATCTCAAAGGTTAAAAAGAAATTTAAGAGCAATGATTTTTTTGAATGGTTTGCCCTCCGTCCTCATCAGAGTGCAGTGGGTGTAAAATGGAACAGTAACGAGTGGCGGCCAGAGCCACTGCCACCGCAGGGGGTTTTCCAGCAGGTAGCACTTGACACTGGTATTGAGAACAAAGAGGAAAAGATGGAACTGGAACCCTTGCCTGGCCCCTGTCATCTATGTATAAAGGGTTGTACTGATAATAACTTTGCATTTGTAGATTGTCTCAAATAGTATAGAATTTAAAATTATGATTTCTGTTCTTTAGAGGTATCTTTTAATGGTATCCTGCTCTAAAGTATCATTTATCCAGAGTGGTTTAAGACTTGGTTCATCTGATTTCGTTTCCTTCAATCAGAAAATCTTTGTCGTTTTCACGCTTGTTGAAATTAGTTAATACCTACGGTTTGTCTTCTGGTGCAGTTCATCCTAGACTCTTGTTACAGTTCCTCAGTTCTGCAGGTGTTTTCATGGTTGCTTTGTTTCCTCAACTCAGTGGTCAGCCCCAGGAGGAAAGAGACCCAGCTCACTCGTCTTTTCTGTCATACCTGACACAGATTGGACACACAGTCCTTGCAGTTTCGTGGAATTAATTACAACATGCTTTACTGGATTTGAAAAATAAGACTACAGCAAACCTGGCTTACTCTTTCTGTGATCATTGAGGATCTCTCCTCATGATGTAGTTCTGAATTGCAAACTTAGGTTATGCATAATCTTAGTTATGATTGTATGGTCCTCTAGATTTACAAGGTGTAAGATATGAGCTACCTGGAAGACAGGAATTACTGTATGATCACAATTATATCCAAAGCACCTAGAACACCACACAGGAGCACTCCATAAATGTTTTTAAATAAATGCATGAGGGAGTAATGAATGCTGCTCCTAAGGCATAACGCACGCTGTTGATTTTTTGTTTTAATCTCTGATGGAAATTTGATTTCTTATATCAACCTTGATTTTCCATTAAAATTGAGGGTGTTTAGTAGTGCCTCCCACCTGGAGTTTTTGAAGTCCTGTCATATATGTGTTTTCATTTTCTTAATCACTGATTTTTAACCATCCCTATTTATGGTTGCCCTCAAAGTGTTTGAATATAAATGATTTAAATTATTTTTTAATGCTCAGTAGCACTTTAACCTTACAAAGAGTCTCAGTAATCTCTCTGTGGCATTTTTTACATGCTTATTTCATGTCTCAAGTCTTTGAATATAAAATAAAAAATAAACAACAGCTTTTTTTAACTCTGGAGGATCAAGAAGTAGTACCCAAACAAGAAATTCTTCCTACTTCCTTTACCTATCACTTGTCTCTGCATGTTTACCTCCGATATATTTCTTGTATTCTCTTTTTACCACTATGGTCATGTAGATCATTTTCAACATTACAATTTGCAAAAGATTAAAATCTAAAATTTTGAAATTAGTTCTAAAAATGTTTAAAATGTTTTCTCCCCCAGAGAAAAGGCTAGCATGGTGGTCCCTGAAGAAAGAGAAGGAAGAGATGAAACAAACCTAGACCTAGCAAGAGGAGCAGCGTCTACAAATGTTCCCACTGACACTCGGAAAGCCGGTGAGTCCTGCCCTTTGCCAGGCACCCCTGTTGCCTGTGGAAGAGGCTGTGAATTCCAGAGTCACCCTGCAGAGGCTCGGTTTTTCTCAGCAAACTCTGAAAAATGGAGATCAGGCTAGAGAGAGGATATGTGTCCCCATGCTGTGACCTCAGCTCTGCCATTTACTGACCAAGTGTCCTCCCCGACACAAAGACACCATATCATCTGCAAAATACGTGGGGCTGAGTGCTAGGCACCCCAGCTTAGAATGAGTTATGTTCCATAATTGCATTTAAATTTGGTTGGTTGAGACTCAGAATGTACTTTTGCAAAGAAACTTTGGTAAATGGTAAGTAGGTTCTTAATCAAAGAACCCAAAGAAGCTAGTTTAACTCTTAGAGGAGCTGAAGGAAGTTTCTCCTTCCTTCCTTCCTCTGCCTCTCCCCTCAGGTGTATACATAGGTTGGAGTTGTTTGGGCTACATACAATTCCCACTCTTTCTGTATTTGTTTGTTACTTCTTGGTACCTCTCCAGATCCCAGGCATTTGGTACTCTCACTGTTATGCAGTGTCCGAACTGTGGCATGCCACCAGGACCTGCTGAATTC